TAGGTATGAAATTTGTGAGCGAAACCAAAAAAAAAAATCATTTTACTTTTTTATATTTAAACCTTAAATTCACAACTTCAAATCGATAGAAAAAGGAAATGGGAATCAAATTTTACAAATGCTTTGGTATTTACTCATATTTTGACCTCTTTTAATGAATGCAATTGGTCTCATTCCCATCACTTTTTGCGTGTAGCACGGGAGGTGGCATCTCCCATACAAATCGAATTTTTCATACCACATATGTATCTTGGAAGTATTTGTGGTAGTCCTGGAACTTGGCATGGAAATATTTGAAATAAATCCCATACTCATGGAGAAAAATTAAGGTTATTGGGAAAGGAGGCGTGGCGCGTTCCAAGCATACTGAAACTTTTACGTATTTGTAAATATATATATGGGCAAATCTAAAAAACAGGTAACCTTTGTGTTATTTAGCATTATTTTTAATGTTGTAAACTATATCAAGATGGTTGCTTTTGGGCACATTCATAGACGTATACTTGAAGCCTCAAAAAAAATTTTTATCAATTTGCTGCATAACTTTTGAATTATAAGTGTTAAAATTAAAAAAAAAAATAATGACAACAAGTGATTTTTTTGTAATTTTTATGAGGGGCACAATTAATTATGTCACAACTTTTGAAGCACACTATATACTGCTTTGACATTTGATATGCAATTAGTACTCTTTTGTGTATACTTTATATGTAGTTGGTAACTAAAGTGTGCTTTAAAAACTAACTAAATGGCAAGTAACGAAAAGTCTGTAACTCTACTTTACACAATTTTCAAAATTTTGGGTCGCGTATAGTTTTTGAAGCACTCCATTTTAAAAACTTTTTAAGTATGTATTGTATTCTACAACTAATAACTAGTGAAGCCGCACGGCGTTAAAATTCCCAAAATTGAATTTCAAAAACCTAACAAATATTCCAAATATTAGTCACAGTTATAAGCGATCAAAGTGCCATATTTCATCTAAATCCGTGTAGCCGTTTTTTAGTGAAGAGAGGTCTCGGTCGTGCAGGTTTTTAATTTCATCAAATTTCAAATCACCCTTTACCGATAAAAAAGATCTTAAGTAAAAAAATAAAAGTTTATCGCACATTTACAGGTTAAGGTCTTTAATTTGACCTCTCATTTTTGAAATTCAAAAGAACGCTGAAAATCGAATGACTATCACACAAAATACCTTCTCGTATAATACATAGACATATACCTATACTTTTAGATCGATATATTTTTTTCGAAAAGGTGGCCAGCCTAATTAAAGATATTTTCAAACTAAAGCTTTCATAAATTTGTTTCTAAATATTTGATAAAACTTGTGTATACGTTAACTAAATTCGACTTTTCAAAAGTTATTTCAAACTAAAATCGTCTTAAATCTCTTTCGCCTGACATTGTTATACACGTGTGTTTCAATAGCACATGAACTAATTTGAATTTGATTGTTCAAACACGTTGCAACCCTCCTAAATAAAGGTCAGAAATAAAGAGTTTTCAAACCCATTTCGATTGATACCCATCCTTTAATAATTCGTCGAACTATTGGATTATTTGAATGTAACTTTTTAAACACATGGCAGCCCTCTTCAAACGCTCCAAATGTTCAGACTAAATATTTCTTAACACTCTTTCGTTTGACTCTCGTATTCATATAATTCAGAAAATTTTGCATTAGTTAATTAAATCAAACCTTTCAAACAGATGGCAGCCCTCTTTAAAAGTATTTTCAAGCTAAACTCTTGTTAAGGCTCCTTTCTCTAACATTGCAATATATATTTTAATCAAGTGATAAATTAAGTGATTTTTTAAACATGTGGCAACTCCTCTAAATATAGTCCAGAAATAAAGATTGATACCCAAATTTCCCATAATTCAAATTGAATTTTATTTTTTAAACAGGTGGAAACCCTCCTATAGTTAAGTTAAAAAACAAAGCTTTTCAAAACCATTGCGATTAATACCCATTTTGAATAATTGATAAATTTTTTTAAATAATTTGAATATAGACAAGTTTTTAAAAGGTGGAAACCCTTTTCAAAAAAATAAATCCTTATTGCACATCTACAGCCCGAGCCCTTTAATTTGACACCTCACTTTTGAAAATCGAACAAACGGTACGGATGTGATGGTACTGTTTATTGAAAAATTTGATTTTAATTGTTCAACAGGTGGCAACTCATTTCGAAAAAATAAAACCAGTTTGCACATCTGCAGCACTTTAATTTGACACCCCATTTTTGAAAATCGAGCGAACGGTGCAGATCTTTTATACTGAACAAAAAATGCCTTCGCGTATTATATACCATACCATACCATAGCAAGAGGTGTGCTTTCAGAATAAACCAACTTTTAAAGATAAGAAATTATGCGATCTTGAGCGTAACTTTTATTCCGAAAACATCTTAATTGAAGGCACATTTGGAAAATACGTCGAAAGGATCTAAATCTTTTTATAACTATTTACTAGTCTTGATAACGTTACATATACCTGTAAAATACTTCAAAAAATTTTCTCTAGAAGTGTGTAAAAACCCTGGTTTACTACTTTTTATAATGGTCCATCTTTTAGTCAGAATATCGTGGTATCAAAGCAACTTTTTTTCGACAAAGATTTTGATACTTGCTCTTCCTTAATTCAAGATTTCTAAATTCAACGGCGTCCTCAGTTTTGCCCGATTAGCTCCACTTTTCCAGATAGCGGTACTTGAAATTTTGTTTAAATTTTAACTATTTTATAAAAAAACTCCCTCAGTTTTGAAGATATTTAACTAAAATTTTGCAAATAACCGTTTTTTGATATTACCTTAACTATTCCGTAAAATCATCGAAATCGGTTCACTATAACATCTAACTCCCACACAACTGATTGATCAAAGACGTTGTTTTGCATTATAACTTATAACTGCTCCAATTAAGCAGGTAAAAATTTAGTATAGGTTCAATTTAACATATAGCACGCATACAATTTATTATTCAGATATGAAGTTAGAGTTATAGCGCAAAAACACATATCTGAGTAATCAGTTGTATTGGAGCTATATGTTAATGTGAACCTATTTAGGTAATTTTAAGGGATAATTAAGGTAATATTAAAAACAGTTATATGCAAAATTTTAGTAAAATAACTTCAAAACTGAGGGAGTTATTTATAAAATAGTTAATCTGATAAACGGGGGATACCATTGAATTTGGAACATCCCAATTAAGTGAGTTCAACTTTCAAAATCTTTGCTCAAAAGTTACAACTTGCACAGCGTAATTTGAACACAAATTATTATTATTTTTTTCTATTTCAGCGATCTAAATGTTTATTCCTCGTCTAACTTTTGAAGCACTTGATAAAAATAAATTACACGTATATGTATTTGTCGATTTATTAAGAGATTACGAATAGAAGAATATATAAAACATAGGTGTGCCAACAAATCAAAAAATTTAACTTTTTATTTTGAAAGTGTACCTGTTTTTTAGATTTGTCCATATGATTCTTCGTACGTGTGTTTGCGAGTGAACTCCTCCTAAACGAGTGAACTCCTCCTAAACGACCGAAACGATTTTAATGCAATTTTTTATGTGTTTGTGTGGGTCCCTGAATAGTTTAAGTTCACAACTTAAAACACCAGGTGGCTCTGCAGTTGAGTTAATTCTAAAAATCTTATGCATGATCCGATTTTGCTAATATTCGAGATATATAGATATTGGTAAGGGTAGGAGCAATACTATTGCAAAAAAAGAGCCGCAAAGTGGCGCTGGAGTCGAGTTAGTTCTAAAAATCGTCAAGTGAAGTCATTCGGCGACACTAGGGATCAAAGACAAATTCTTCTTCTTCTTATTTCGCGTGGCAACTACCTAAGCGATTTTTGCCGAGTTCAACAAAGCACGTCAGTCGTTTCTCTTCTGCGTCAACTCGTCAATTGGAAATGCAGTGGGGGCATGCCTCTTCCTACCTTCGCTACCACCAACGGGTTCCGAGTTGAATACTTTCAGAGCCGGAGCGTCGGAATTCATTCGAACAACATGGCGAAGGCAGCGGAGCCACTGTATTTTAATTCGCTGCGCTATCTTTATGTCGTTGTAAAGCTCATACAGCTCATAACTCCATCATCTGCGGTACTCGCCGTCACCAACGCGTAAAGGCCCGTAAATCTAACGCAAAATCTTTCTCTCGAATATTCCAAGTGCCACTTAATACTAATGTTCAAATCACTTAATCACTTGAATTAATGGTTCAAAACATTTATATTCATATAAATTTTATGGCTTGCAAAATTAATCCAAGTCGACTTTTATTTAGTAAGTTACCTTGAAAATCTTCTACAGTTTGAATTAATTCCGTTTATTTCCCACTGTGCAACGCCCTTAAATGTTTCTGTTTTCAGCAACTGCATTTTTTTTTTTAAGGTAAAATTTATCGATCTGACGCATATATGTAATACTTCTATATTGGCAGTAAGGTAACTTCTCAATATCGAAGCATTCTGAAATCAAAGCGAGACAGTCTAGTACCGTTTTTGTGAATGTATTGTGTACGTGAGTGCCGTTTTTGTGTATGTGTTGTGTACATGTTTATTTATAAGCGTATGTGTTCCTTTTCCTTCGCACGTGTTCATTGATATATCTGTACTGTAATGTTTTCGGACGGTACTAGCTCTTACTGCCAATATAGGAGTATTACGTATAATATCTGACGATAAACAGAGCTTTACCGACATATGCTACTGTGTTTGTCCGTGAAAAACGTAAGTTGTTATTTCAAATGTCCACAGATATCTTAAGCAGTAACTCGTTGCGTTCCTATCTAACACACAAATCTTAAATTGACCACGGCTGTAGTTTAAGATGCTATTATAATTAATAGCTTATTTTACTTTAGTTGATAGTTTTTATCTCTAAAATCAAAACTCCTAAAATCAATGTCCACAAACACATATGTATGTTTTCATATTATTATTAGACTTATGTATATACGTGTTCCTATCTCGCTATAGATTCGACATTATCGAACCCACACTGGCGAAAGGCCTTTTGAATGTGAATTTTGTCACAAGCTTTTCAGCGTAAAGGAAAACCTTCAGGTGCATCGCCGCATACACACCAAAGAACGACCGTACAAATGTGACGTTTGCGAACGAGCATTCGAGCACTCGGGCAAGTTGCATCGGCACATGCGTATCCACACCGGCGAGCGACCACACAAGTGCTCCGTCTGCGAGAAGACCTTTATTCAATCCGGACAGCTGGTCATTCATATGCGAACACATACCGGAGAAAAACCTTATAAATGCCCGGTTGAGGGCTGTGGCAAGGGATTCACCTGCTCCAAACAGCTCAAAGTACATTCGCGTACTCACACGGGCGAAAAGCCTTACCATTGCGATATTTGCTTCCGTGATTTCGGTTACAACCATGTTTTAAAGCTACATCGTGTGCAGCATTACGGATCCAAATGCTACAAATGCACGATTTGCGATGAGACGTTTAAGAGCAAAAAGGAGATGGAGGCGCATATCAAAGGTCATGCCAAAGAATTTCCAGATGATGATGACGATGCTGGAGCTGTAGCTGGATCAGCACCGACTAGCAAGAACGGGCATATCGGTAATTCTACATCGAGCAGCTCGTGTGGTGAAGCTATATCAGCGCCTGGTTCACCTATGTCACCAGCCACCTCCACAGCCGCTATCGCCAAAAGACGAATAATAAAAGAGCAGCGTATTGGAGCACCGTCTCTTAGAACAACCTCTTCCATTTTACCCAATCCAGCATCACCCAGCTCCCCTCAGTCTACACTGTCGTCCGGCTCATCGATTGCATCTGCGTCACGTCTCTCTACAGGTTCACCAGAATCTTTGCCCACATCGCCGCCGATTGCGCATGCTTTAGAAATAGATCACCATAGTCGAGACAGTGGGGTGGTTAGCGCCAGCAATAATCGTCAATTATCACTTTCCTTATCCGCTGTAAATTCAAATGAATACAATGCACAGCAGTCCGTTACTTTCATAATTGAAGAATTGCCGACAGACCTAAGCAAGCAGCACATACAACAACAATTGCATCACTCAGCCGCTACAATATTGTATCAAGGCAATCAGATACAGAATTCATTAAACTATCCAACCACAGCAGCTCCATCGACTTATAGTTACCATCAGCTGCAGCACCGCAGAACAGACTTAGATGGGTCTGTGATGGAACCGCCCACTATCAATCCAGCTTTGCTTGAAGCAGCATCAATTGTGAGACAACTCGACATGCTAGATTCCCACCGCGAAGAAGAAACTGGGAATGCGGCAGTAGCGTTAAATCAGCTACAAAGCAGTAAAAATCAGCAGCAGCAGCAAAAACATTTAGAATATCAAAATCGACAAGAACTTAATTCATCTGAGTATGAAATCCAGAGATCGTCAAATACACCAACGACTTCGTATGCATCCCAACGCCTGTCGCTCAGTCACGATCTATCCCAATACGATGATACACTGGAGGCAAACGAATTGATTGAACATTACAAGCGGGGTGAGCTCGCGCGACATGGACTGCACAAAGGATATGCGCCGGTGCCTAAATTTGAGTAAGTTTAAAAAATGAGGTCACTTGTTATCGTACGAAAATCTTTAGGAAATTTAAAATCATCGTAGCTGCGTTGAGAAACTGCTTTATTTTAACTTGTGGCAAACTACACAGTTAGGTGCTTTCCTAGGGTTCGTAAAAAACTGTACATTACTACGAAAATTTACGTTTAGCAGTTTACAAATTACCGTTGACTTTTGAAATTTTTTGTTTTTGCTGACGGTGTACCGTGAATCGACTATATGAAGCCAGGTGGAAGTGATAATTGACGTACACCAATTTCGCTGAAACTTGTCTTTCTAAGGAATAGGTAATTATGAAATACATAGTATGCTTTGATAATTGCCACGCCATCCACTCTTGTGGGCGGAAACATTAAGTTTCATCCGATTTTGATGAAATTTAGTTTGCACTCTCTCTTTTATTATATATATATATCTATATATATATATATATATATATATATATATATATATATATATATATATATATATATATATATATATATATATATATATATATATATATATATATATATATATATATATATATATAATGGGGTAAAATATGTGGTAAAATTTATTGGTGGCAGATATTTGCTGTGACAACTTCCAAAAAGTCACCGTAACAGACTGTGACAAAAGAACAGTCACAATGTTTTTGTAGTAGGATTGCGCCATCCACAATAGGAGCAACAGTCACAGTCGCTACTACGAATTGTGAGTGTTACTAAGTTTATGCCGCAGAATTCTGAATTCTTCATTTCATAATTAAATAAATAATATAAAAAAAAACTTTTTAATATACAACGCTTTTATAAATGGACTAAAAAGTAGAAAATAATATTTCTCAGTCCCATAGAATTTGTTTTGATAACTTTTGATTTTGAAATTTTAGCAAAAGTCATTATAAACAATCTATGAAATTGAAAATGAAAAACGTGGAGCGCATGCAATACAAAGCATTCGATTTAATTGACAATAGTCAAACTACATAACGTAGACCTAAAATTTCTACAGCGAAAGTAGAACTTTGAAATCGATTTTAAGCGGTCGTTATTCATATACCCACATACATACATACATATATTACTTTTCATATCAATTCAAGTGTATTACATGCGCCCCACGCTTTTCATTTTCAATTTCATAGATTGTTTATAATGACTTTTGCTAAAATTTCAAAATCAAAAGTTATCAAAACAAATTCTATGGGACTGAGAAGTATTATTTTCTACTTTTTAGTCCATTTATAAAAGCGTTGTATATTAAAAAGTTTTTTTTATATTATTTATTTTCTACTTTTTAGTCCTGTCTGAATAAAATTTTGCAATAGATATTAAAATAATTCAACGATATTAATAGAAAGGTGCACACACATGCATTTACATATGTATGTACATACAAACGAGCACCAATTAATTTTATTTAAAGAAATGGCGTGTCGTCTATTTCCGCTGTAGCAAACGTAGTACATAGGGCGACATCTAGATGTCATCTACCTCGCCCTATTCACTACAGATGTCGCCCTATGCACTATGCTTTTTTATAGGAGCTTTTCAAAGCAAAGGTCTTATGGTGTCGGGCACACAACATTGAAAGTTTCGGATCCACAACATTGAAAGTTTCTGGACACACAACATTGCAAGTTGATAAAAGCGTTGTAAAATGGTTCCGTTTATGCATAATTGGCGAATTCATGATATGAAGCGCTTTGACAAAGTGGCAGCGCACTAGCGAAAAACTAAACAGTAGGGTTGTGATATTTTCCCCCTTTTTTAAATGTGCAAAACACGTTGGTACCAGGAAATGGTCCATGTTATATCTAAAAATCTATTTGGATTTATTTTATTTTATATTTGAACAAATCCACGCACTTTTTCCAGTGTCTTAAATCATGGTTATGCCACTACATGCTTTTGAATCTAAAAACGTAATAACCCGAGTAAACAGCTGTTTGTGAAAAGCGGCGTTGTTGGACTAGCACTTCGCGTATTCATGAAATGATGCCGAAATTCATGTTTAATTTTCGGAGAGAATTTCAACCCAAACTCACGTATATTAAGCTAGCAGACTATGGTCACGACGCAGAACTCTAACCTTTTGGGTATTTAGTTGCTAATTAGTTACACTATTCCCGATTTAGTTGCTCATTACCTCTAAAAGATACGTGCGATCTGCTAAGTTAGATCTTAACCTAGCAGGTTCCCGATAAGATATCAGAGTTCTGCCAACGGCATATTTAGTTGCTAATTAGTTACACAATTCCCGATTTAGTAGCTCGTTACGGGTTAAACATACATATGATCTGCTAAGTTTAGTCTTAAGCTAGCAGACCATTGCTATATCTTCGGTTCCCGATAAGATATCAGAGTTCTGCAAACGAGATATAGTTAGTTGCTAATTAGTTATACTATTCCCGATTTAGTAGCTCATTACGTGTAAAAGATAGTTGCGATCTGCTAAGTTAAGTCTTAAGCTAGAAGACCATTGCTATATCTTCGGTTCCCGATAAGATATCAGAGTTCTGCAAACGAGATATAGTTAGTTGCTAATTAGTTACACTATTCCCGATTTAGTAGCTCATTACGTGTAAAAGATAGTTGCGATCTGCTAAGTTAAGTCTTAAGCTAGAAGACCATTGCTATATCTTCGGTTCCCGATAAGATATCATATCTCTTCAAACGGCATATTTTGTTGTTAATTAGTTGCACTATTCTCGATTTTCTAGCTCATTACGTGCAAAAGATACGTGTGATCTGCTGAGTTAAGTCTTAAGCTAGCATACCATTGCTATATCTTCGGTTCCCGATAAGATATCAGAGTTCTGCAAACGGGATATTTAGTTGCTAATTAGTTACACTATTCCCGATTTAGTAGCTCATTACGTGTAAAAGATAGGTGCGATCTGCTAAGTTAAGGCTTAAGCTAGAAGGCCATTGCTATATCTTCGGCTCCCAATAAGATATCAGATCTCTTCAAACGGCATATTTAGTTGCTAATTAGTAGGGTTGCCAGACGTACTGCTTTTGGGAGTACACGTACTCCTTTTTAATGCAATGTACTCCCTTGTACTCCCAAAAAAAAATATATGGAAATGTACTCTTTTATTAGTTTTGTACTTCTTTTGTTCTCCTTTTTCCAGCTATTAATATTTTATCATATACAGGGTGTAAAATAATAACTGTCGCACAGTTTTTTTTTTTTGTTTTTAATAAAAGGGACCTTTATAGATTTTGCGAAAATTTTATTAATTCGTTTTTAAATTTTAACCCTCATTTGGGTTTACCAGCGGGTTTGGGAGAAAAGTGCAAGCGGCACGCAAGTCTTCATCGGTTACGTTATTACATATCTTCTGTAAATATAGGCTAATTTCCCCCATTTGGGACCTTTATACTCCATCTTTTGTCCAACATAAGGCCTCATACTCAGCAATCGAAAAGACTCCGAACCGGTGACTAGGAGGACATTCATACGACCAACCCTATACAGTTTTTTTTCTTTTTTTTATACAAAGTCTAAGAAAAAGTACACCTATAAAAGACGTGAGTGCCGCATGAACTTATCTCCCAAAGCTGGCAAATGCAAATAGGGATTAAAATTTTAACCCTAATTAATAAAATAGATGTAAAGTATTTACAAAATTAACAAAAAAATACTCTTTTTCTCTTTTTCGCAACATCTATAAAGGACCCCTTTATTTTTTCAAAAAACCTGTCTGACATTTATTATCTTACGCCCTGTACTTTGCCATTCATATTGTGGCAAACACTACTTGGTAAGCAAAGTTAAGTGTGATAGTGAAAAGGTGTATGCATGGTCGTAGCAAGGTAGGTGCAGAGCGCTCGGGTATAAAAATCAGAAAAATATTAAATTAATTATAATGTTTAATTAAAAAACTGGCCATATATTCAGAAAGAGTTTGGAATTCTTTTGTAGAATTTAGTTTGGGAAAATTTCCTATAAAGGCGGTCATTGAAGAGGTGTTGAGCGAAGGGGGAGTGGACGTAGCACCCCCACCACCTAGGCCCCTTATGGTTCCCTAGGGATGCCTTAGAAAAATCGCCAAATACCACAATTGGGTGCCACGCCCACTCCCCCTTTGATCACCATCTCTTTAACGACCGCCCTTATTGGAAAGCCAGCCATTTAGTTATTTATTTTTAGCATTTATTGTTGCTTTGAAAAAGATTTCTAAAATATCTTTGTTTATTTGTACCTAATTAATGGTAATTTGTAACAATAGATTTCACACAAAATTTAAAAAAAATGTACTCCTTTTTTAGGTCTTGTACTGCTTTTTTTCTATCGAAAATATAAATGTATCTACTCCTTTCTCCGTTTCAAAATCTGGCAACCGTACTAATTAGTTACACTATTCTCATTAGCTCATTACGCGTACAAGATAAGTGTGATCTGCTTAGTTAAGTTTAAACCTAGCATACCATTGATATATATTTGGTTCGTGATAAGATATCAGAGTTTTGCAAACGGCATATTTAGTCGCTCGCAGACAACGTAGTTAATCAGGGCTATTACTGAAACCATCGGTTTTTGGGTTTTTTTTAACTTTATATTCTTTTTCTTAAAAAGGCATTTTTTTAATTAATTTACATTCGTTTATTAAATGGCGTCTAGCAGATGAATGTATGTACATATAGTACGTAATTGGTATTTTACCTCTACTGCTACACAAATATACGGAATTATATAAACTATTAAAAATTTGGAATAAGATAAATATTTAGTATTAACAATAATGCAGAATTTCTGAATTATTTTTAAGATTCAGCGATTTTAAATTTTGTTTAGACAGCATAAACTCGTAGAGTACTGTACGAATCTTCATTACGAACTGATTCAATGAATGCTCCCTGCGAATTTTGAATTTACGTTCGTAGCTCTTAAAATCATCTGTTTTAATTTTTTCTCAGATTAAAAAGGTTGACCTGTAGACCATAGGGTTTTATTTTTTTAAAGAGTTGCTACCTGCTAAAAAATA